TCTTTTAAATAAAATTGTTCCTGAAAATTCATCTGTTTTTTCTTATGCGCCCTTGGCTTTATTTTTTTTTTTGTATTTTTTTTTTATGCCTAAAAATACGCTGTCATGCGCTAAAAGGAATATCGCGCCGTTTTTACTTTTTCCCCTAAGCTTAAACTTTTTTAAAATAAAACTTAATGAAAAAATTTACATTTGGGTGACAGTAGAAAATTTTCCATTTCCCAGTCCAATCAAAAGTATATATAATTTCCTTTTTACAAATCTCAACAAGGGGGACACAAACAAACACAGATTTTTTCCTTTTGTCATTTTCTAGTAAAATATGCAAGTAAAATTGCTCGCTTTCTTTATGTTAGTACCAGTATAAAAGTGTACGACTGAACACATAATTTTTAATCACTAATTGGGGGCGTGGACCAAATACATTATTTATGTTTTCCCGTCCTTAAATTTCGCAAAGGATTAAAAAAAACACAAAAAAGACTACGCAAAACGATGCCAACAAAAGGTTAGCAATTCTTGCATACAAGGGAAGTTCGTATACCGGGGGGAGTCTTTTAACAATTTAAGAACATTAGTACAGTAACAATTAAGCGCCTGTCTAACCCAGTGTGTGCAATGCTTAAGATTAACTGTTATCTATAGCACCGAATGTATTTTTCGTGCAGGTAAAACATTAAATACAATTATTTGTAGGGCAGGGTTTAGGGTAGCATTCTACGATTATAGCATCCTTAAATGTGTGCCGTTAAGTCCTTGAACACTACAAAATTGCCATTTTTTTCTCCGTCCCCAATGCATGAACGCTTATGTACAGGCGCTCATTCGTATGTGTCGAACAAGGAGCGTTACAGCAGCATATATATATATTCTGCAAGAGTGCATGTTTTAGCACTACATATGTGCTTTCTTTTTAGTAACAATGCTATTTCTTACACTGGTGTGGTCAAAGTCGTGACGTTGGGTGCGAAGGAACATAAAAAAAGGGTTTCCTCGTTTATAATGACGTATGGCAACATTGGCTTCATACAAAACGGTAACCCTGCTACATTAAGTGGGGCACCTAACCGCTCCAGTCCCCCACACCTCACATGTTGTTGCTGCCATTGGATCGATCGATCCCGTTCGTTGGTGCGTTCACAAAACTGCCGTTTTTCCCAGTTGTGCAAACAGGGAGAAAACTGTGTTCTTATAAACTCTACATTTCATGAAAGGAATGCTATATGCGAACTCATCACAGCACATTTAACACGCGCCAATGAACTTAACAAGGCGCACCGCACAAAAAGCACATGCGTATTTTGTGTGCACGAAAATGTTGAATCTGGGAAGGTGTCTTAAGTGGTGCCATTGAACTCTTTTTTTTTTTTTTTTTTTGGTTTTCACGTGTAACAATGCACAAACGGGACCAATGTAAAAAAGACTGCTCTCTCGCAGGCGCTTATAAATAATAATTACATATATATAGCCCGTGTTTTTCACACCACAGAATGCTCAAAATCGATGTAACAAAACGATCCTTATGCATTTCAGGTGGAAGCAACTAGCCACAACAAAATTCTTTTAGGACGAAATTAACATAGGGACCACATTGCTCTTTATGAAACAGATATGACAGCAACGTTAACTGAATAAAGGGCCACATAAAGCATTTACTGCGAAAAATAAAAAAATGGAAAATGGAAAATGCACAAATTATGAAGTAAATAGGGAAGGCGATAAATTATACAGTTTCCACTCCTGGTAATGAATAACAATACACATAAATATGTGTGCAGTGGAGGCAGAGTACACTGCTCATTTTTTTAAATCGCTCCGAAACAGAATATACGGATTGTCTAATATGTCACCGCGCGCGCAGGGGAAAAAAAGACATAAACGCCATGTTACGTAGAATTTAAGAAAACGAATAAGCAATCGTCTACAAGAGCATAATTCATATGGTTGTTTTTACAGATACATAGTGTGCATCACACCTGAATACAGTGTAACGAAAGGATTCACAAAAACACATGCTAAGCTAGCCATATAATACACGTCACATGTGCATATGTGTTACCTCCCACCAAGCCCTGGGAACTTCTACGCCCATCTCCTTTCTCTTTTTATCGTGAACCGCTTTCATTTACTGGAACCCACGGTTAGAGGTATGATCACAAAAGATTATTCCATTAACATGACAATACATGTAATGCGCATTCTTACATGCACAGAAAAAACAAAAAAAAAAAAAATACAGTATTCAATGTGGAACAACATATACGGAGGCAGAGTTGTAGGGGGTTTTACTTTACCACAATTGGGGGGGGTGAAGGTAACTAAAATGAATCTCTCGTTTCCGCAAGAATGACAAAACGCCAAAAAACATATTTAGGGTTCGGGCAAGTTACCCTACACACTGATGAACGGGTACACCGCGCACGATACGACATGAACATACGCATCATTGCCACGCATTTTCACCAATTTTACAGTTTATATCACATAGGCAGATAATTCCAATGAGCAGCTGCAAATAATTCAGTGTGGTGTGAAAAAGTCACATGGACTATTTGATCATGCACTGCGTTCTTTTCCATTCCACGTTACGGCACCGGATGGGAAGAACAGTATTTTGCTTGCCTCGTTCGATGTCTATGAACTCCGACAACAAAAAAAGGCTGCTCAGCATATGAAGGACGATTTGTATAAATGAACATTTGATGACATATGCAATGGATTACATATTAATAGTTTATTCATTTTATTTACTCGGAAAAGTTTTCAGTTTTTATTAGCAATGTTGATTCTCGGTGTTTTTTTTTTTTGTTCTTTTGGCACACCACAAATCGCGAACGTTTAGTGTTTACACAATACAATGAACACCTGCGACGGGGGGGAGGGGATGGCAGATCCCTTTTCTATAACGACAGAAGGGTATGTAAATAACGCAACTTAGTTAAGCCCGGCCAATTGAGCATATGCTTAGAATTATACATTTTACATGTAGCAAATACTGATTTACATAAATTCTATATACGTGCGTATGTACGGTTAAAAGGACATTCACTCAAATGTATTAAAAGGGGGAATACAAAAATCGCGCTGATGCAAGTAATAACATGTGTGATCGAATATTATATGCAACACCACCCTCAGTTAACTAACACACCTTTTTTTTTTTCTTTTTTACATATTCACATGCATAAAAAAATAATATGACACCTCCCTCCGTTTTTCTATAATCTAACGAGAAACAAGCACAGCAACGTTGTGTTGTTATATTATACAGCGCACAAAATAGTACATGGACAAAGAAGTGCCATTTTATTCATTTACCTCGTTAAGTTGGCTCGTTACGTTAGAGCCCGAAAACCAGGGGTTAAATTGGCGCCTTAAATTTCGCTTAACGTACTCCTAACATTACCCTTACGCGCTTAATGTTGCCTTTACTTTAGGATTCGTCCCATTCTCAAATTTTAACAAATATTTCTACATACAAACTTGAAAACATTTGTAAAATAATTAACAAGTAAACAAAATTTTACCCTTTAAAAGGAGTTATTCAGTTCGCGATAACCCCCTGCTCGCCGTGTTTTTTTTTTTATAGTATGGGAAAAAAACAGAAAAAACAAAAAAATAATTAATTTTGTTAAAATAAAGGTACCGTAATTCCTGTATAATACAATTTAAAAATATCTACAGCATAAGTAAATACACAAGAACAAAAGAAAAAAAAAAAAAAAACATGCGAGTGGGAGAAGTGTACCTAGGAGTAATAAATAATTTATTATGGATTCGGGTAATATGTAGGCACATTAAAATTATATTACCTAACTAATAGCATCCTATGCATGCACACTTACGAAAAGATTTACGGATTCAATAGTGCTAAGAAATAATGATTTCTTTTTATTTTTAAGGCAAAAAAACTGGTAAAAACTTTTCTTAGGTGAGTAAAATTGCTGTGCCCCACAGTAAGTATTAGTTTAAACAACTTAATGTGCTGTTCTTCGGGGTATATCCCCACGAAAGTAAATAAATGGAATAATTCAATATAATTACCCTAATTCTCATGTTCACCTTTCTCTAATATTAAATTCCAAAGTTTTAAATAAAATAAAACCTAGCACAAACTAAGAAAAACTAAAAAAAAAAAAAAGGAACTAATAAAAAATAAACAAATCGTTCAAAATTACATATTTATTTTATGTACCATGTTATATTATCACTATAAATAGTGCAGAAGGGAAAAAAAATAAAAATAAAATTAAAATCATCACAAAAAGAGATGTGCTTTCTTCAAGGGGTTTTTTTGTTACTCGTTGCGCACTAAAACAAAAAAATTATTTTTTGAAAAATCTGCGCTTTAGTTTTTTCAAAGGTATATTAGGTATATACATGTACAAATATAATAATATAATATGGTATTAATATTTATACACTATTACTTTTTATAAACATTATATATTTGCACAATGGTAAAAATATCACAGTGCGTACAGTACAATTTTTTTATTTAACCATTATAACGCTTTGTTTTTTTTTTTCTAGAGCTATTGTTTAGAATTTTTTTTATTAATTTTTGTTTAAGCAAACCCATTTTATTAAAGAAACATATTCATTCTTGTTATTTTAAAGTTTTAATAATTTTTTTTTTTTTAACATTTCTCCCTTTACGATTATTTTACGCATGTTTTCACCATACGCTTTTTTACGCAATACTATTGTTATTTAATACGTTAATGCTATTTTATTATTTTATTTAAATAAATAAGGAAAAAAGAAAAAAAACAAACACAAGCCGCAATAAAAAAAAAATAAAACAAAATAAAAACTAGCATTGAATGAACAAATGTTTTATATAAACTAAACCTCCAAAGTAATCCATCCCTACTAAGTGCTTTTTTTCATAGTCCCCTAAAAAAAAAAAAAACATTCCCCCACCCTTTTAATAAGGCCGAACATAATAAAACTAAATCTTTTATTTACTACCTCCCTTATTTAAAGCATTTTTAAAAATGAAGATCACCAGAGCATGTTCAGTTGTCGCTTGCCTCCTTGCTGTTAAGTTGTTAACCCCAGAATGTCACTGTGATCCTATAAATACTAAGCCTCAGGTACCCAAGAGTCAGAGCCATAGTAGTGGTAATTGTGGTGCCAACAATGGAAACTCATCTGCTAATTCAGGAAATTCAGGACATGCAGGTAGCTCGAATGCGGTATCAGGAAACTCTTCAAATTCTGTAAACGCCCCAGTCGCTGGCGCTTCAGCATCATCAGCTAAATTATCAGGCCCAGGAACCACCCCACCAGCTCCAGCCCCTGCTCCAGTAACACCCGCACCTAAGGATGACAAGGCAAAAGCCATTGACAAAATTGACGAGCAAATAGAAAAGAAAAACCAAAAGAAAAAATTATGCATAATATCATCAGCAGCCACAGCTTTGGCTCTCTTATTAGGAGGAGCAATTGGATTAGGAATTTACAAAACGACAAAGGCCCCACAGGTAAACGTAGATAATGGAAATGAAACCCCCGCCACCGACAGTTCTGACACTGTTGTAGAGGGAAATACCGAAACTACTGATGTATCCGATGCTCCCGCCACCCCAGCAGCCCCAGAGACTCCAGAGACTCCACAAGAATCATAATTAAACAATAGGGGCACTTTGTACATATAGGCTCAAGTGCGTATGGACATGTGCCTGTGTTTATTCACCCGTGTGTGAATAAATAGGCATTTATGCATTATGTGTGCCGGGACTGTGAGTATGTTCCCCACATATAGGTGCGCAATTGGTTACATGTATGGACGATTTCATATACTGTTGTTGCGTTGAGGTATTTATTTCAGAAGCACAGACACAACCATGAGAACATTTTTTTTTTTTTTTTTTCCTAGATTTTTTCATTTTAATATTTCATTTTAGTGTTTACTATTAATTATATATTTATACTTTTATAATTAAAAAAAAAAAAAAAAAAAAAAAGAGCATCCTTCCTATATCTATCTATATATATAGTTGTATATACACTTATATATAAATGCATTACAGAAATTTCATGTTTCATGTTTACATGCTGCATAGTAACTTTGTAATTCTTTTGTCAGAGTAAGATGATAGAAAATTTTTGTGCAATGATTTTTTTTTTTTTTTTTTTTTTTTTAAAGAACTTTTTATTGATTTCTTATTAAGGGCGTGCACAATTTTACGTCCTTTATGTAAATCATAAAGACCTGTACTGCTTGATTCAACTACACCGATTAGAAATATTTGTCTGTGCACTTTGTGCGGAGCGAAAGGACAATTGCTGTTGTGTGATTCGCGCTTGGGGACGCGTTTCGTGTTGTGAAACAATGTCCAAATGTTAACTGATCTTATTAGAACATGCAGATAGCTCCTTTTGTCCCTTTTTCTGCATTTCTGTTCTTTAATACTCAACGTCGATGTTAACTGTTCCGTGCGAAGGAAACACGTTGTAAAAACAAATAAACCTGTCAATGTGCAATTGCATATGTCGCCGGTTCTGCCGTTTTTATGCCTACCATTTGGGAAAATACAGCGTGTTGTTGGGTAAAGACGCAACACGTGGAAAATTGTGCAGGGGTCATTTCTTTGTACCACAGGTCGTAACTACTGCTGCGTTGAGCGGAGCAGTAACAAGCATGTTTTCATGTCCATGTGAGAAATGTATTTTTGGGAAGGGGAAACATCATCATATGTCTTCTGCATTTCTTTTTGTTCCGTTCCGTTTTTTTTTTTTTTTTCTTTCGCATTTGGATGGTACTATTCGAGTGAGCATTTTTGCTACTTCTCTTTAATCACATGTGTGTGATGTCCGTGGCAAATAAAAAAGTGTGCCGCTAAACTGGCGAAGGGGAAAGAAGCATCCTTACCAACACGTGCCAGCGCTGTACCTGGAATGCAATCGTAATGGTGTCCCTGGCGTAATGTCACATACATGATTCCTAATATACCTAACGTCTACGTCTATACAGATGTGACAATGAAGACACCTCGCATCATATATTGCGAAGAAACACAGATGGCCCCTTCACAAAAAATATGCCAATTTGTATGCTACACTTATTCATGTAAAATGCATTTGCAATTAGAGAATAAGTTTTAAAAAATAGCGATGTGTACGCTGTGTGCAGACGCCGTTACGTGATAGCCACGACTACAACCTAGCGTTTAGTATATAAATACACTTGCGTAACTTGTGTCTCTTTTTTTTTTTTTTTTTTATATAACCATGGATTCGTTACGGAAGCCTAAGTGTTGATAAAAATGGTATGCATACAAATATTTTGATGAATTTACCGAAATGTCCGATTAGCAAAAAAAAAAATTTTTTGAATGAAAAAAAAAAAAAATGATTTTCCCTATTGAGGTCCCTTTTGTGAGAGGATTAATGTTTCCTTGGATCATAATTAGTTGAGCCATTGCTGCTGTATTTTTTCTTTGTTGCCATGTGTAAATAAACGCGGCACGGTGTTTACCCTCTAATACAGGAACCATTTCATGTTTAGTTGTTCCGCATTCGCTTCCTTTTTTTTTTTTTTTTTTTTTTTTTTTTTTTGCTTTCCACCTGAAGATCTACAAATGCGTGTACCTACAATTTCTACGTCCCTAAACGGTTCTCCATTTTGAAATTTTGTTTAAAGGGACGCTACTTACAAATGGTCCACTTCATTTTCCTGTGTGCATGATTCTAGTGATGCAGAGCAAAAAGTAAAGTTCACGTGCCCCAAGTGCTCAACACCAATATTTTGTTTATGTTTCCTTCCCTTAGTACGAGTCCTTTTATTGTCATTTCCATTGTTGTTATCCTTTTCCCCTTCAACTTGCGTAAACGTTTTAAAATTTGACCCATAACATGGGGGATTAAAGAAGGTACGTCCATTTCCATTACCATAATAAGTAAAGCTAAGTCCTTGTACATCAGATTCCACGAAAGCAGGATTTTGAAAGCTATATGAATTTTACGCTGTTATTGGTTTATATTTCTTTCTCTTATTTTTCTTTAAATGTGGGTGACGGAATTTTTTCCTTCGGGGGCCTCGGCCGGAGGCTCCTTTCTCACTGTCATTATACATTTCATCTTCATCTTCGTTAACGTCTTCATTGTCCTCGGGGGTAATGCACAAGAAGTCACACAATTCATTGTAAAATTGTCCCACTGGTGTATGCTATGACAAAATAAAAAGTGAAATATGTATGTAGTGATATTTACTTATTGGGAGTGCAAATCAGTTTTATATAGGATAAAAAAAAAAAAAAAAATGTAATGATGTGTGTGAGTACATCACCCAGGTGGTATTTAACTTACATCATATAAAAACGCTGCGAAGGGAATTACGATTAAGAGTGAAATGAAAGGAAGAAGGAAAATAAAAATATTTAGGAGCAAAAATAAATCTTCTGACTTTCCTCTAAAGGGAACAATTTGCGCAGTGCTGCTATTCGTTCCAGTATGAATAATGGGAACACTGTCCGAGTTTACAGCTGATATAGGCTGCAGGGATGAGGATGCACTGTCTGATATGGAAGAAGTGATAGTTCCCACGGCATCGGTGATAGCCTGAGTAACGCCGTTAACAAGACCCTCTACTAGTGTGGTGGTAACCACAGTTGATACTTGGTTAGTGGCCCCTTCGAGTGAAAAGGGATCAATGTGAGTGGCTAAGGGTGTTGAATTAGAAACAACAGTTGTTACATTTCTATCATTCCCATCGAACATTTCACTTTGCAACCTTGTTCCATTATTCATTGTGCTTGGTGTTTTAATGTTTTTATAAAAATGATTCAGAATATCTAGTAGGTGAGACTTTCAGCTACTTCCCCCACCCCCCCAAAAAAAAATTTTTTTTTCTTGAAGTGTAAAAAAGTGAACAAGTTATTGTATCGTGTTGTGGTCCTATTTTTTTGCACCATTTAAAGAAGAATGTTTAAAAAAAAGAATGTGTAAATTGTGTAACTCTGTGTAGTGAGATGTTGCTCATTTTGAAACGTTTACAATACGTTGCATTATGGTGAAAAGAAGAATCATGACATTGTAACGTGTAGTTATTCTTTCGAAGTGGAATATATTCTTCTTATTCTCCTTGTTTTTTTTTGTTTCTTTTTTTTTCTTTGTCACAGTTGTTAATTTAATAAAATGTGTGAAGTGCTAGGTAGTGCTCCCTTTTGAAGACAAACAAATTAAACAACAATGAATGTGGTCTTAAATTTTAAAACAGAAAATGTGCACGATCTGAGCGGAGCGGCAAGGGCGCAATTAAAAAAGTGCGGTTCTTTGGAAAGGGGTATTCGAAATGGTCTCATTGTTTGCACAAAAAAAAAAAAATATGGGGGGTGTTTCACATTATTAATTTGTGCGTTTCTGTTGTATTTGTGGTGTTTTGTTCCTTGTGGGGTTGTTGCTTGTTCGTTCTGGCCGTATGCTTACACGGCGTACTTTTTTTTTTTCAACCACATGTTCCAAATGTGTAAAGTAACTGTCTCTCATTTGGGCCTTTTTGACTGTTTGCCATGTTAACGAGGAAACGTAAAAGTTGTATTTTTTATATTAACAGGATCCATATTGTTCTTCTTTACTTTGAGCAATGTGCCTTTCTTTCCTTTCAATTGCAACCATTTTGCCAGTTCGAGAGCCGAACGAGTAGATAAAATCTACAGTTTCGATATGATCAGAATGAGGAGGCGAAATGGTGTGCATTTAAGGCGCAAGAGGATCAATCAGATAATCTATTTGTGTCAGACAAAGGGCGAAAGTGGAATATCCTGCAAGTATGCGTGACGTGTCGTAATTGTTTTAGAGGTCGACCCACAAGTCGAGGTAGCATACAAAATTGGGCATATGAAAATGGGCACATGGGGGTAAATGCAAATGATAATTATGCGTTTGAATTTGTCCTCTTTTTTTTTTTTTTTTTTTTTTTTTGTGTGTTCACTCACATGGTATGCACCTTTAACGAATATGTCGTGATGATGACTCGACTCAGTAGAACTTGTGTTTTGATCGCGAAAGTGTGTATATAAAATGATGCGCTTAAGAAGTCAAAGAATTACAACCCCCCACACACCCTCCCCGTTTTGTTTTTTCTACCTGCAAAATTGAGCTCATTTTTATTTTTCTTAAAAAAATGTAATAATAAAAAGTAGGTTATCCGTTTTTATTTAACCCTAATGTTCTTTTGTGTTTGTACGATATTTGGAATGGCCCAAAAGTAAAGAAAAAACAAAAATGAGGGACTTATCTTGTGACTGAGTGTCGGATCACTCGTAAACAAAATATATAACATTTTGCATAAACATATTGGCAAACGATTGACAAGGAAATTGAATAGTTGCGTTTATCCTAAGTTGTATAATCTTAGCGTTAAAGCCTTGCCCTCTTTTAAACCAAATGATGAGCCATTTTTTCCCCTACACTCAAAAACATAGGTGTATTTGCATTTGCTTTTCAGTGTACATAAATGTGATTAACAAAATATGACTAGTACCGATACACAGGGTGCATTTTAAGTCAATTTTTTTTTTTTTTTTTATAATAAATATATTTACTTAGCCTTTTCCTTACAATGAATTGAGAAAAAATAATTAGAAAGGTTGAAAAAGTGTGTAGTAGTTTCTTCTTGCCAAATGCTCGCACGTTTTAAAAGCACTACCACGGAAGGAACAACGGATGCTTAGAAAAAAAAAAAAAAAACGCTTATATAGTATTGAACCAAAGCGATGCCCCCATTTTTGTAATTTTTGAAAGTGCCCGAATATTACGTATCACGAGTGCACCCACGACTTTATAAGCGCAAATGTGCACATTCATATGAGCGCACGTTCTATATATAACATCATGTGGGGATCGTTTATAATCTCTTTAAATATAATAGAAGATATATACTTTCCTTTTTTCGTTTTCTTCAGAGGGGTTTTTTTCATTGGTTTCAGGGTGTGAAGAAGGCAAGTAGCCCATACGAGCCACATTAATTTAGTGGACCCTCTCGTAATGTGCAAAATTTTATAGTTAACACTAAAAGGGGATGAATGGGCGAATGGATATAGGCTACTCCGCTCAAATGATTAAATAAGTTTCAAATATGTTTTCCCACATTGCTCATTAGTAACAACTGGTCTTTAAAAAAAGATGTGTAAATAAATAATCCCCATGTGTCTTTATCAGGGTTACCTACGTATGAACGAGGTTATGCCTGTCCAGGGTGAATTCTATTTTTTTTTAATGAGTATAGTATGCCGATTAGGCCAAGAACAAAACTGATAAATCGGGTAATGAAGCACGATAAAATAAAAGCATAATTTTTTCGTCACTGCAGCGTAATGTTAAAGTTTTAATTTACTGAATCAAACATAAACTGTTTTTTTTTTTTTTGTTAACATTTTTAATTTAATGCTACACATCCAATTTTACGTTAGCAGTCTTTTTTTTGTTGGGGGGGGGGGAGGAAAATAATGAGAATATTATATAATATGGTTCGCCCCCATGTTCTATAAAAGAACCTATAGTTTTCTTCACAAATATAATATATATATATATATGCCTTCAGATCAGTTTATATATACTTTGTTTTGTTTGCACTTTGGTTCTGGTTCCCCTTTGCATGCATAATATATCACATTTTGATATCAATTTTTTTTTTAAGATTTGTTCGCATCTATTCGTTTAATTCATATTTGCCACGGTATAATACAAAAGGCAAATATGTTTGCAGAATTAGATGCGTAAAGCAGGATGTTTCATTATGGTAAAAAGGTTAAATTATTAAAAAAAAAAAAAGGGTGAGAAGATAATTTTTTAAAGCTCCTTTTGACAACCAGGAAGAGGCTACAAAAAGGAAGGAACTGCATAATTATTTTTTACTACCACCACTCGCTTCAGGAAAACTTAAAAAAAAAAGCATTGAAACAGAAAGTGGAGGCTGACCATGGCCATCATAACTATTTGGGCAATTAGGCATTAAAAAAAGAAATAATGCATTACAGGAATGGAAGTATTATGAATGTGATTTATTTCTTTTTTTATAAAGACATGTTAAAAAATGTTAATCTGCTTTGCGTATAATATTTGTTTAAAAAAATGAAAGCGGCTAAGAATTCTGCTCTTCTAAGAATAAAAACACTGGCGCGATGCAGATTCGCGTCCGCTTACGTGCTTTATATAAATAATAAAGTAATATGCGTCACTTAAAAGCTAAGGATTATTCTTTTTTCCTTTCTTGCAGGGTTATTATGAGTTTAAGGAGTTATTTTCATTTTATAAAAGTACCCTATGTCCCCCCAAAAAAAAAAAAAAATTCATATTAGAGGATTAATCGCTTTGGTTACTATATACATTGTATTCCTTGGGACATATATATACAATAGGTATTCCTTTTAATTGAAAAAAGAAAAAAAGAATACTCGTATGTATAATAAAATACATATTTATAATTATACTTATACAGAACACTTTTTAGAAAAGAACAGACCTCATAGATAATATTTTGACGTGTCTAATTTTTATGATATTCCATCACGTATAATATGATTATTTAGATTACGCATATTCTTATATTATTTTTAAACAATTAAAAACTTGCAAGTCTTTTATTTTTTTTTCTCTTTTTCTGAACAGTTTTATAACACGGGCGAACAATAAAAAAGTAAAAAACACAACAAAAAAAAGCAAAAAAAATTATAATTTCACTAATAGGTATAAGAAACAAAAGAAAAACAAAAAAAAGAAAAAAGCGTTTTGCATTATGTTGAATCCATGAATTATTAAGATGTGTACTCGAGCTGTTCTGCCACAAAGAGAAAAGACAATTTAATTTTTTTATTTAATTTTCACGTCGTAACTAGAACGAAATATGAGATGAAAGCAATAATAACTGGTTCCCTTTGTTTAATGAAATTTTCTTTGTGTTATATTCTATTATTGGCATATCACAGTTCGGCTAAGGTAAGATAAGGTCACATTGAACAACGCTGGCTGTCGTCATTACGCAATGCATTACGTTTCTGAGCGTGAATGGGCAGATGGGTACACAGACGAATACATATCCTGTAAAATAAATAAAGTTGTACAAAATATATACGTGCGTGGGCGACATATTACCCCGTTTACGCTATATCCTCCCCCTTTTTCCTCGTGTGTTCAGTTAACGTACCGAGACGTATCTAACATATTGTACAGCAGGGACTCCACATCTGATTTAGGAATACAGGAGGCATACACCAACAGCTATGAATCTTTAGCAGCAAGTAGTGAGTCTTTAGCAGCAAGTAGTGAGTCTCTATCAGGAAGTAATTTATCCCTGAATGACTTATATGGGAGCGCAGAATCGTTAGCATGTGAAGGAGAGCCACATGACAAGACATTCTTTGGGGATGTCCTGAGCGGTGGAATATCTGCGGATGATATATCAAAAGAAGATTTATTTCGTGTAGAACAAGGATACGAAGAAATTCTAAATGATGTCTTAAAAAATAAATTCCAAAAAAAAATATCTATTAGCGGAAATAGTTTATTCCAGGATGATCAGTCATGGAGAGGGGACTTCAGAAGGAACTACTCAGAAACTAGTCTGGACAGAGACATGGAAAGTTTTAAAAATGAAAAATCTAGAGAGGGATTGAATATAGATTCGGAAGAACCTAGAAGATCTACGCATGGAGTTAATGCTCCGCAGGGAGAGGAGAAATATGTGAACTTGCAAGAACATCTGGAGGGACAAAGGAACCACCAAAGGAATAACGTAAATATAAAATTAAGCAGAAATTACGGACAAGCAGATATGTATAATGTGAGGAAAAATAGCTTTTTTACAAAATCAATATACTATTTGTCGTTTGGCCCAACTGTTACAGTGTTACTTATAATCCTTATTCAACTCTCTAATCCCTGGATTGGTTGGCCACTTTTGGTGTGTAGCACTGTTCTGCTATCAGCTTTGACATACGCGATGCGTTCAAATAAAACACAATGCGAACGTATATTTCGAAAATGGAGAAAAAAGCTGAATAAAGTAAAAAAAGGAGGTTGGACAATACGTAGATTTCTTAACAAGGTAGACAAATTCTTGTTTGACGTTTTGGATGGCTTTTAAGTGGTAAACGCCATTGGATTCATTTCTCAATGTTATTCTTATGAATCCTTAAAATCATCATTTATGCAGATGCCATCATTTTTGGAATCTTGTGTTCAACAGTTAAAAGGTATTAACACAATGAGTTTTTTTGGTTTGCAAAAATGTGGATATATGATATGTTCACATTTTTGTAGGCATAATTTAAAATAGACTAATGTGACTACAATAGGTCCTATTCCAATATACTGGACCGTCTTCTTTTTTTCTAATTAGTCTTTTTTTCCTTTTTTTTTTTTTTTTTTTTTCTGATTTTATATGTGTTATTTGAGATTGATCTTTATGGTAGAATTATCCCGCTTTTGCTTCTTTCATTTCACCGGTATTCCATTTGACCATGCTTCTGTAACAAGGATACATGTTTTGTGCGCTTACTAAATTGTAAAGTCTTAATAAAATACTTCGATGCATCACTGTCTATATTATTAATTTTGTTTCCTTAAACATTAACATGTTTTGTTATCCATTTTATTTGAAGAATTTCTACAACTGTGAGATGGTTATGCAACGTTTCATAGGGATGATTGTCCTTTTTGAAGTCATCTGCTATAAGGCCCTTGCTCAGGGTAATTAAGAAGGAGAAATACCCGTTTAGAGAATTAAGATGTGTCCACTTTTGCTAGCTGTATTTTTTATTATTCAACCTCATGATTCCCCTTTTTCTATAGTAATGCGAAGGATGTGGGAAAATGTGCAGCTAAACATTGTTTCCTTATTTGGAAAAGAACGTGCTATTTTTGGGGGGGGCAGAAAAAACTTCTATCTTGAAATACATATTTAAATGAATGCAATAATAAGTGAATTAACAATTGAAGTGGTGTGGTTTTCTCTGCATTTGTCTCTTCACATTTATTATTATAAAAAAGGGAAATTATGTTCAAACGTGTAGAGCTGCCATTCTTTTTTTTTGTGACTATTTTCGTTGAGGAGTTCACACATATTACACAACATCATTGTTACATTTTTTTTTGTTTCGGAATGTTTAACGTGCGGCATGGTAATCAAAGTGTCATTGCAGCTACAGCTGCTAGAGTGATCTTTGTTCTTTTTCTTAATTCTTTTATATGTAATATTGGAAGCATAAAGACACACTGAGCGTTTATGCAGAAAGAAATATATCATAATAGGCATTACATTGATGTGACTTATATCTCCTTTATAATTATAAGCAATCGGCATTATTTCTGTGGATAATTTTTGAACAACTATTTTTATTGAACAAAAGAGAATGTTACTGTAGAAATGAGTACAGCCAATTATTAAGCTATTCATAAGATTGACGTAAAGGAAACAAAAAGAACATCTGTTGGACAACACAAACACACCTTGGGTACATATAGGAGAACCAAATTACAAAAGTAAGTACATTGTTGTAAAGTACCTTTCTTTACTTTAAGAAAATAAAAATGTATTCTATTCTGTGGTGAAAGTTCTATCAGTATTGACCATTCTAGTTTATGCAACAATATAAGTAGAATAAAATAACACTGGAATGATATGGGAAAAATAAAAATTATGAATAAATATGAACATATACAATCTGCTTATGAAATAACGTACAATGGGTAAAAGTGCTGTCGATCTATGAAATAAATGAGGACATAACGATTAACAAGCGGAGGACAATACTACAGTGGATGGACAGTATTAGAAAATGTAATATGTAGAAATAAAAATAAAAATATATAATGTATGAATTAATAAATGTTGCTTTCGTGTAAAATTGTTCTATTCTGGAATATATTGTTTAATATATTGTTCTAATTCAGGTAATACATTGTTCTAGAGGGAGATAAATCAATGCTTATATAACTTTTTTTATCAATGAATTACCTGTTCTTTAGACTTATTTTCAACATTCTAAGGATTCGCATGGGCGGCTTTTTTTCATCAGTTCAGCTCATGCATCCTATTGTTCATATTCTGAGGGTGAGGGTTCATTATGCACGTTTTTTCTGGGCTCTGTTCTTTGCACATCGTTCGTATTCCGATGGCCACCTGTTCCATTTAACTTTGTTCTCCTGGGGTTGCGAGTATTCCCTTGCTTCAACTTCTTTTTATATTCATTATGTAAACTATCACTGTACTATATGAGGAAATTGAGGAAGTTAAAGAATGAATAAATACATATATATCATTGTGGATTATTATTTATTGTGAACAAACATAATAGTTTTTATATGTATGAATATGTAAGAACGAAGTTTATCTTACCACAAAAAAGCATCTGGGTACACTAGTATATGATGCCCAACAGGAGATGATTAAGGTTGAAAAGAGAAAAAAGAATGCATATATGTTTTTCATTCTTGATAGTGTTTGATTAGTTTTTATTTAAAATTTCAAATTAGGGTTAACACTACTCTCTTTTTCGATTTAGTAATAAACTGTAATGTTTTGCCTTAGTACACGGATATAATACATGTATAACTCTTTAAACTTTATACCAGCTGAAATAAAATCTTTGTAAATACTATAATTTTTCTTAAAAGATATTGATCTTAGTAAAAATTTTGGATAATTTTGCAATTTAGGCTTATCTACAAAATTAGAAAGGAAAAAATAGTCAATGTTTGATGTTAAACAAAATGTATTTATATTTATTAAAGAATATTTTTATTTTAATAATTATGTATTATAATTAAATCATAGAACACATTTGTGTACAAACAAAAATGCAATATCATAAAAAAGGTTACTAATGAACCGGAATGAAATTTATTTTATGTTAAATATATTATGTAAACATGATGTTTTTATAAAATAAGAATTAATATTTGCAAGTTATCGTAGTGCATATTGAATTCTTATACACATTAACGCGTTTACTCTTTTATTTATTAAATGTTGTATATACATATTTTTTAGAATATGAACATTATTTTTTTTAATTTCTAATGTGTTCATTACATCCTTACACAACGTAGCAATGGTAGAGCTTCTTAGACAATGTTTTCTTTGATAGTCGTAATTATTTTATATTATCAAAACTTCAAATCTATAATTCCTTATTTCTTTGTAGAATTGTAAATATCTATCAAAACATATAACTTCTTAATATTTATTAACTTATATAAGGTAAAAAGAAAAAAAGTGTTAAAATATATGAATTTAGAAATAAGAAAACAATGTATTTTTGCGTTTTAAGAAATAATCGTTTTTTTGAATTGTTATTTTTGTTGTTGTTTCTCTATCTTTCCTATGTTCTCCCTAATAATATATATATTTTTTTAATATTATCACTGGGTACACAACATTAAAAGTGGGTTCTTTATACAATGTGTTTAAAATAGGTGCATATTAAATATATGTTTTTTTTTGTGTATAAAAGAGTTCTATATTTGTTCACTCGGTAAAGATATGTATTGATTCATTGGATGAATTAAGGGGATACAAAGTTTTTAGTTCCTTTGATTGCTCTACTCACATTTTCAGTTTTTCTTTATTCTACAAAGCAGTCGCTTCCCGTAAGATTTCTAACGAATACAAACAATGTCGGAGAATAACGGGCGATATATAATAGAACCTATACTTTGAATTTTTGGTGAGTTATATATTACTTACAATCGAAACCGTGTCCTACATAAATTGAATATTCTTCTTTTTTTGTTGTTGTTTTTTTCATTAGAATTTTTTAATGGTGATTTTTAAAATTAGCCTGCGAAAGAAGTACAGGTGGTTACTATTTTGTTTATTCTCTATGAACTACTTTTAAGTGAGACGTTTCTACCTCATTCTCTAAAATGATGGGAGTTTTCTTGTTAGTATTATTATTTTAATAACTTATTATTTCTACATTTCAAGCATGAATTAATTTTTAAAGGGACATGTGTGAATTTATCCTTAAAGTATTATGTATAATAGCTCTGTACTGAGGAAAAGTTTTATTAAAAAAGTGGAAAGAATAAAGATAGAAAAACTGAGAAACAAGGAAAAGAATGAGAGAAAAGAAAAAAGTAGAAAGAATAAAGATAGAAAAGTTGAGAAAAAAAGGAAAAGCATAATAGAAATGAAAAAAGTAGAAGAAAAATGAAAAAAATTAAATGAAATTGTAGAAAGAGGCATTAACTGTCAAAGTAGGAATGATTAGTAAAATAGATTCAGTTAGTAATGACGGCGAAAACAGTGGAATGCGAGCAGTTTCGTTATAATTATGTAACATATACCTAAATAAGGTTAATGCATTATAAATATGACATGTAACATATGATATACATTTAGGGCACATTTAATAAATGTATTAAAACAGGCAGAACAAATTTTTAATATCTATTTGTGATGTTGGTCTATTAGCAAGGAAAGGATATGTATAAAAAAAAAAATTGCATATGATTATTAGAAGTTCGCTACTTTTGTTGTTATCTAATATAAGCGAATATCCGATATATTGTGACAAAAGTACAATACGTCTCCCTATGATTTGCAGAAAGTATAGATGCAAACAATAAGGAAGGAAGCAATTTGTAAATGTCCTGATCAATAATTATAAGGAACTTGCCAGATACAGGTATATATATATGCGTGCACAGTTTTCGAGATAACTATACTGTGTCATATCATGTTATGAATTTTCTTCTCTTATGCCCATTTATATGTGCTATTAATAAGTTGACAAAAAAGGAAAACTATAGCACACGTGTACTGTACAAATGAACAATTATGCCTCTACTTGAAACATTTTAAGAAACAGACAAGTAAATAAAATTTACAATGTCCACAGAGAAAAGGGGAAAAAACAAATGTAATGATACTTATATCCGTCTAATGTGAATACATGATCAAAAAGCTTCAAAAATGCAACATATTCAGGATGGTGCATTGGTCATTTGGTTATCTTCTAGAAATGGTAACATTCTGCTAAAAGGCAAAATATTCTTGAAATATTAACTGAAACACACGTAAAAAATAAATGTACATTGAGTTTCACTCTAATTAATTATACGTACATAATATACCCTGGCAATACCCATGTTACTCAACCTTGTTCATTCTTAAATGAAGAGAATGACCTATTGAATTTTATTGTTTTCTGTAGCTGTACTCGGTACGTACGTACATAATAGTTGAATCAGATGAAAACTATTAAGCGCAGCAGCAGAAATGACAAGAATTCTGCGTATATATGTTACACCTTTTATATTATCAAAATTAGCACAAAACTTGTAACCTCATGTTACACAAACAGAAATTGGTATATATCTGACTCCCCTTGCACACAAATCACGTGCAACTATTATATTTGTAGTTTAACCTAATGGAGTACACATGCCGGATGGCCTTTCTATGTTTAAGTAATCATTGTGAAAAATATAAAAGGACTGAATATAGAGCAACAATTGTTATTCCTTGTTGACATGTGATGAAATTATTTGTATAAAATCATATGCATGTTGCGGTGAACCATACGCTTGTCCATTTGAGAAGCTTTAGGGTATATGAATAATATCATAAATATAAAACAATAAATATTACAAAAAGTGTGCCATGTCTCATATCATCTTATAATATGCAGACAATATTCATCTTTGATAAAATATAAGATGTATAGAGAATGCAAAAAAATATACCATTCATTAACTATGTTTTTGTTGCTCTTTGTCTAATCACACACTAAACATATCAGATGAAGAAAAGTCGTATACACAACGGCCACATTACAAGCATGTTGTCCTTTTGTTTTCGTTGACATTGATGTAGCAAGGACATGTACATACTGGCATATATACACGTACTACAGATGTTACATATGTGCTAACGGTATATATGAAGTAAAAGGAAAATAAACATATCAATGTTGCAATACTCGTATAAATTCTTAAAAGCAATCCTATGATGAAATATTTTCGACATAAACGTTGCTTCAAGTTGAATCGCGCGACATTATTAATACCCGTGTGCCCATTCGTTTGAATATGGACTTCGCCAGAGGGACACATTCTTCTAAAGCGCTCCCTTCATGTGCTATTATCTTTCTGATAAATATTGGGAGACGCTAGAGAAAAAACTGCTCCCATACAGAAGAATGACAAATACATCCTTAAGAATGTGTAAAGGATATATAAATATGCGTATTCCGAGTGCGGGTTTTTCTCTGACAAATTGTGAAAAAAATTGTAAGGCAATTTGCGCGGCTCTTAATATCCGACAAGAAATGCGGCATATACTAATGACTCTAAAAATGAGGTCCGTGAAGTATACTTTATTTCGGTAATAAGTATACCATGAGCATACACAAACCGTCAAATAATTTTTTTTTAAACTATTATTTCCCACTAATGCTTGAAAGTGAAATATTTTATACTTTTTACACATGAATAAAAAAAAAAAAAATAATAATAATAAAATAAGAAAAGGTTATGCAGAACGGGATTAATGAACTTATTAATAAAAAAAGGGCACACCAAATAAAACTTATCACGCCAACACAACAGAAAATATATGGAGAAACAAAAAAAAAAAAGGCTTATAACAGTACGTGGTTGTATGATTATTAAGTAAATATTACTGGTAAACCGCCCCTAATGCGCATTCACCAACAGCGTATGCAAAATGAGTTCTCTGTAACGTATGTGGAACGTTAGACAAGTGTTCCTAATTGTCTCAAAACGGATTAGACAATTTCGTAATGTTAATTTTGAGTAGGTAATCATAACACATTTTTGCATTTCACACTATATGCAGAAACGCACATTTTTGAAAAGGCATAAATAGGGTACTTCCGGGCATAAAATAATTACACACCTGGTAATAGGGAATGCAACAGGTGTCATCCTATTTAAACGTATGAATAAAATAATATATAGAACATATGTGTAAAACGGGCTTAATAGGGTGGATAATAAAGAAATGGTGGCGCGCACCAGAATTGATTCACAACTTTTTATAAGGAATGAAATGTCACAAGAAGAATACATTTGTCATTTGGAAAAGGATGATTTATTTTATATTAATACCGCTTTCCATTATAGTATATTTTTGAAATATTTGCTATCACATTAGACTTATTGGAAGGATGATTAATTAAAATATAATCATTCGTTCGTGCAAGAATAAAAATATATGCTTATCTTCTGATCAAATAAAAGTTACAGCAAATGATACTTAAGGTAATAATGGGTTGAGGGAATAAACCTTCCTGGTTATTTTCAACCTTCATGGAAACAATTTCTTGTCCATTGTATATAAAATTATGTTTTGATAGAAATATTTAACGCAAAATGATTAGTATAGAACATAGACAATTCTCTTATGGGCAAACTTTAGAATCCATTATTTTAATGATAACAATAATCAGATTATAAAAAAAGAGATGCCAATAATTAAATCTTACAATGGCACCGTAAAATTACGTATACGTAGTGAAGAAATGTGAAATAAGAAAAAGGTACGTTTCTCTGTGATTACTAAACAATTGAAGGGGAAGGAATCTTTTTTTTTTTTTTTTTCTTGTAAACGCTAAGAAAATAATTTATAATAATATGGTGAGCCTATATTTTATTTTTTAACATTAACATATTGCTAAGTCAGCATTGCAGATTAATTTCAATTTGGCATTAGCGAGTCATGGTATAAAAATGATTTACAGATGAATTTATTAGAGGAAAAATGTATTATCATCATTTTTTTTTTTATTATAACATACTCATATATTAAGTTAACATGTGAACCTTCAGAAACAGGAATAATGATTTGTATCGTGTCCTTTTATTTACATTTTATCAAAAAAAAAAAAAAAAAAAAAAAAAGACAGGCCGAAGGAATTGAGTCCTTTTTTTTTATCGAGAACCTTTTACGCTTATATTTATTCTTATTTTTATTTATTTATTTTTTTTTGCTCTATATTGATAGATACATTTTCTAACATGTTCGAATTGAAAGTAACACCAGATAACAGTTTTAAGAAGGGCAATACATTTTTGGAATTAAAAGTACTGTAATTAGTTTTTTTTCCTTTTTTTGTTTTTACAAATGTATACTCGAAATGTATTGGGTGTATGTGATGTATGTACGTATGTACATATATATATATAGGGCGTTGTCAAACGTTCATATTGTAAAAGGTCAGAGCAAATAGAAAAATGAGAAGGCTACAGCAAGGAACAGACAGAATTAAAAATACTTATGCGAGGAACGCAGCAGCCGCTACTTCATAAATGAAGGCACAGCTGCTCCAATTAATTATGAAATAAGTTTCATTTTATATATGATAAAAATATGTAAAAGGAAAATACGCTAGGCAGATTAGATTTACTGAAATAAATTTTATATTGACTGGCAACAATAGTCACTACATACGATTTTAGACATTACGTACATATAAACACGAATAGTTGTTATTTTCCCTTTATTGGACTGATTTAAAAGCATGTCAAATGGAACAGAGTGCGCGAAAGGACAACATAACAATTAGGGTTAAAGAATGGTATGCATAGAAATAACGCAATAGATGACACCTTCATAAGCGTATACAACGAATACAAACGTAGCGCCGATACTTGCTATTTTTTCGCGTTTACATGTATTAAAAATATAATTAATTCAAGTTAGAAAAGAAAAAAGCTAAAATGAATGATTAAACGACTGAAGACTGAAAAGAATATACTAAACAATTAAATATTAATAAATATAAAAACGCTATAACAAAATAAACCGTTATAAGAAAATAATACGTATAAGAAAATAATGCGTATAAGAAAATAATGCGTATAAGAAAATAATGCGTATAAGAAAATAATGCGTATAAGAAAATAATGCGTATAAGAA